ATAACGACTGCCACAGACAGCAACCCCCATATACCCCAGTCACGGCAACACACACGGCGAGCTTGACTGCGCACCCATAGCTCTACGACAACGGAAACATACGTGATGGACCAAGCCATGAAAAGAGACGGTTAGCATCACCCGGAACTCGAAAGTTCGCCGTGATCCGAACTTGGCGGTTTCTTATGGCGCCAAGAATGTTTCCACGCTCTCCCGCAGTTAGAAGAAAGGCTAGTCGCGGGTGTCAGAGTCACCCCGACCCCAATCGGCCTCTGTTAACACCGCTGTTGGCCCCAATCGACCCCTGTTAGCACTGATTCTCCCTATCGACAAAACGAGCCCGTGCGGTGGCAGAGTCACCCCGACAAACACCGATCCGTGTAATTGACAAGGCGATCTCCGAAGTTGGCGGTTGCAGGAGTGGCGAGGTACCGGTTCAAGAAGTTGGCGATCGCAAAGTCCGCCGGGATCCGAACTTGGTGGTTGCAGGAGTGGCGAGGAACCGGTTTGTGCGTGGCACGTCGAAGATTTGCAGGGTCAGCGGGTGCATACAAGGAACGGTATGTGCGGGCGTATCGAATAAAGGCTCTGCCGCACTCGAATGTCCGCTGGACGAGATCACGCACAGAAGAAAGGGCAATAGTGGATGCAGTACTTCAGAATTGGCGCTGCAGGACGCCCAATTGACCCCCGCTAACACCGATTCTCCCCATCTTGAAAGCGAGCTCGTCCGGTGTTTCAGTCACACCTACGATTTGAACAGCTCGTGGAACTCGCACATCTTCGCGGCGTGGACAAGAAAAACGTAGCCGTGGCTGATTGACCCCCCATGCAACCCCTACAAACCCTGAGTGGCCAAGGCGACCCCCAATTCGCGCGCTGGCGACGTCGACGTCTGACAGCGCGAACCGAAAAGCATGCCGGAACACGAGCGTGCCAGCGACAAGTCTCCACGCATCGCGACGGTTAAACCCCCTGGAGGGCAACGAAGATCGACGGCAGACCGAGAACGGACCCGGCCTCTGCCACCGACGGCGAACCCCCTTAAACCCCTATAAGGGCAACTCACAAGGCGTGTAATTTTGAGCACCCATAGTACTCTCACGAGCACTTTTGCATATGAAAAGGTCTCTGACAATGCAAACACATGCGAAAGGCCAAACCGTTAAATAGTGTGCTTTGATATAGGCGGAACCTCAAAGTCGGCCAGGATCCGAACTCGGCGGCTACAGGAGTGACAAGGAACCGTTTTGGCGGTTGAATAGTGCGCTTAGATTAAGGCGGAACCTCAAAGTCCGCCGGGATCCGAACTTGGCGGTTGCAGGAGTGGCGACGAACCTTTTTTTCCGCGGCCCGTCGGAGAGTGGAAGGGAGGGTCATAGGGTGCGCACAAGGAACGGTATGCGAGGGTGTATTGAATAAAGGCTCCGCCGCTCTCGAGTGTCCGTGGAATGAGAGCACGCACGGAAGAAAGGGCAGTGGTGGATGCAGCACATAACAGTCTGGCGCTGAAGGACCCCACAAATGACCCCTGTTAACACCGATTCTCCCCATCGTCAAAGCAAGGTCGTCCGGTGTTTCACTCACAGCTAYCAGTAGCACAGCTCGTGGAACTYGAACATCTCCGCGGCGGGGACAAGAATAAATTGTAGCCTTTGCTGAAAGACCCCCCTGCAACCCCTACAAACCCCTGTGCGTGCGGTCGAGACGGCGACCCCGAATTCGAGCGCTGGAAACGTCGACGTGTGACTGCGCGAAACGGAAAGCACGCCGAAACAGGAGCATGTCAGCGACAACAGTCCACGCATCGCGACAGTTAAACCCCTTGGAGGGCAACGAAGATCGACGGCAGACCGAGAACGGAACCGGCCTCTGTCACTGGCGACGACCCCATAAACCCCTATAAGCGCTTTTCGCAAGCCCGCAGCACTCTCGCGAGCACTCCTGCACACCAAAAGGTTTCTGACAATCTGATCATATTTGGCATGCCAGGCCATTGAAAAGTGTGGTTAGATTTAGGCGGGACCTCAAAGCCTGCCTTGATCCGAACTTGGCAGTTGCAGGTGTGGTGGGGAACCGTTTTCTGCGCCGCACATCGGATCGTGGAGGGGAGGGTCAGCGGGTGCACACAAGGAACGGTGTGTGCGGGCGTATCGAATAGAGGCTCTGCCGTCCTCGAGTGTCAGTGCAACGAGAGCACGGACAAAAGAAAGGGCTGTCTTTGATGCAACACTTTACGAATCGGCGCAGCAGGACCCCCAAGTGACCCCTGTTAACACCGACTCTCCCCATCGCCACACAAGCATGTCGTACGCTGTTTCACTCACAGCTACCAGTATAACAGCTCGCGGAACTTGCACCTCTCAGCAGCGTGGACACGAAAAATGCAGCCGTGGACGAAAGACCCCCCTGCAACCCCTACAAACCCCGATTCGTGAAGTCGCGAAGGCGACACCCATTTTGCGCACTGGAAACATCGACGTATGACAACGCGAACCGAAAAGCACGCCGAAACACGAGCATGTAAGCGGGTGCACACAAGCGTGGACGGCAGACAGAAAACGGACACGACCTCTGGAACCGACGGCAACCCCCATAAACCCCTACAAGGGCAATTCGCAAGGCGGTTAATTTTGAGTACCCACATAAACCTCTATAAGGGCAATTCGCAAGGCCTATGCTCGCGAGCGCCTCTGCATACCGAAAGGTCTCTGACAATGCAAACCATCGCGACAGGCCACGCCGTCGAATAGTGTGGTCTGATCCACCCGGAAACTAAAAAGTCCGTCGGGATCTGAACTTGGCATCAGCAGGAGTGGCGAGGAACCGGTTTCAGCGCTGCACGTCGCAGATTGGGAGGGAGGTCAGCGGCCGCACACAAGGTGTTGCTCAACCCCCTTTAAACCCTCATAAGGCAATTCTCAAGGCTGGCACTTTTGCGCAGCCAACGGTATCTGGCAACCAAACACATGCGAAAGCGCGGGGCGTTGGTAAGGGCGGTAAAATAAATGGCGAACGTAGAAGTCCGCTCGAATCCGAACTTGACAAAAAGACACTGTTTTGTTTTTGCTGTGGGCGCTGCTATATCTGTGTATTTATGCGGCGACACCATGCGAAAGCCCGTCGGTCGGGACCCAGAAAAATGCAATGCAGGCAATACCCCCATAAGACCCCTACAAACCGTCGGAACAACGCACATTGGCAGGAAGCGTGTGATTTCAGCAATGCGGTCAGAACAACGCACGTCGGAAGGAACACGAAAAGAATCACCTAAGCAGCTCGCCGCGTGGCAAGCGCCAAACCGCAAGCCCGCCGGGATCCGAACTTCGTGTTGTCGCCCTCGAGCGCTTCTGCATACCGAAAGGTCTTTGAAAATGCGAACCATCGTGACAGGCCAGGCCGTTGAATGGTGTGGTCAGACTCATCCGGTAACCGAAAGTCCGCCGGGATCCGAAGTTGGCGTCGGTAGGAATGGCGAGGAACCGGTTTCTGCGCTGCACGTCGCAGATTGGGAGGGAGGTCAGTGGCCGCACACAAGCTGTTGCTCAACCCCCTTCAAACCCTCATAAGGCAATTCTCAAGGCTGGCACTTTTGCGCACCCAACGGTATCCGGCAACCATACACATGCTAAAGCGCAGGGCGTTGGTAAGGGCGGTAAAATAAACGGCGAACGTCAAAGTCCGCTCGAATCCGAACTTGACAAAAAAACTTTGTTTTGTTTTTGTTGTGGGCGCTGCTATATCTGTGTATTTTTGCGGGGACACCATGCCAAGGCCCGTCGGTTGGGACCAGTCCGCCAGGATCCGAACTTCGTGTTGTCGACCTCGAGGCGGTGGCGGGCGCCGTTGCAACAGGAAGCGTGAAACCAATAACCGCCAACCAAAAAACGGCAATGGTGGGTAGGAATACCAGGCGGAAAGGGAAGTTGGGCTACGAGCGAACTACAACAATCGAGCGGTGTGTTCTCACAGGCGTTGTTCGTTATTCAACGAGGCCATCGCCACGAAACACGCAGCGCACATGGCGAAGAAACACCGTCAACACTTCAGCGAGCGGTGGCATCGTTCTCCATCTTGCGCACGCAGCGTGCTCATTGTTTGCTCGGGAGCTCACAGTCCTGGTGTTGATCGTACGCAATGCTCCATGGCATCGCTCATGACCATCGCCAGGAGCGAGCGCTGATCATCCCCCGACTCTCGGATGGATGATGTGCACGTCGTGTGTGCGCACATACGTGGCGTTGGGCGTGCGCAATGCGGTGGCGCATTGCGCACGACCAACGCCAAGAGCGCGCGCTGATCGTCCACGTGCTTTCGGATGGAGACGACACCAGCTCCCCCGGGATTGGCGCCGTAGAGCGAGCGCTGATGATCCACGTGCTTTCGTGGTGAGCGGCACGTGGAGGACCATGGTCGAAGGCCAAAGCGCGTTTTTTTAAACAGACCATGGTCGCGCACAGCCCACATGGCACCCGCTTATCTTCCACCACACCCGTCGCGACAACAGTCTCTCCTGCTCTCTCAGTACGCCCCGCTACCCAGCCTTGGATCTCGTTGATGAGACAAAAAAAGGTGCGAAACATTGAGTATTTTTCAAATTGTTAGCCAAATTGGAAAGGGTTGTTGAATATTCGTATTATTGCCGAACTGAACATCGTGTGCATGCGGAAGAAAAGAAACATGGAGGACTCACAAGTCGTCTGGCAGATCTAGAGGAACGAACGATTGAGAAGGAAACAAAGAAACCATGTGCCCTATTGCCAACCCCGGCGATCAACATGTGGCTGATCGCGACGAATGAACGAGTGAGAAGAAAAGAAAAGAAAGAAACCATGTGCCCCAATGCCAACCTCAACCCCAGCAGGAATGATGTGGACGATGGCGACGAAAAAAAAGACTGAGAAGAATAGTAAACACAAACATCGTGTGCCCCAGTTTCATCGATAGCCTTTCCCAGCACATGCGACACGCGTCGCGCCGCGGCGGTTGTCATGCGCCAGCAGCATTGTGCCCCAATGGCAGCCCCGACAGCTGTCGTCAACGGCCTAGACGTGGGCAGGCAGAACACCGTTGTACCTTGAAGAGATGGCGCAACTCTTTGATGAGGGCGAAGCGCAGACGATGGTGACCACGGGGAACGCAAAGACGGGGTGTCGAAACTCCGACAACTGGTGCGCAGGAGCTTCTGAGGGGGAGGCGACAGGAGCTAAAAAGAAGTAGAAGACAAAGACCCCACAACAGTCAGGGGGGAAAAGGAAGGGAGTTGAGGGGCATGTCGGCGCGTCGAGTCAAAAACGCCCGGCCTCGGCTCAGAAGCCACCCCAGTCTGCCCCTGTCCAGCCCAGAGGTGTCATCGACATCGACGCGGCATACTTCCTGGAATGGAAAAACGGCGTGCGAACAAAGCGGGAGTTCGCCATTAACCCGTCGCAAGTCGTCGACATCGGCGAGTGGGAGGCGGCATACAACCAGCGTTCCTTGGATCCCGTGCAAATACAGGCCATTATTGACGCAATGACGACGGCCTACTCTCAGACCGAGAAGACTTACGAGCTGCCGACACTAAAGCTCGCGCCTCTCGGGCTGGTTAAACCGACGCCCGGGGTGCGGGCGGATCGTCTGAAGCCGGAGGACTGGGAGGACATGCTGGCAGGGCAATACTCCTACTACGCTGTGGCGGGCCAGCATAACGCGGCTGCGGCCAGGGCGCTGCTTGGCACCGATGTGGCGGTGAGGTACAACTTCGAGCGCTGGCCTGCACGAATGGTGTACTTCTCAAACGAGGACTTTGAGGGGTACTTTCTGGTCAGCGCTGAGGACAACAAGAAAGACCTGAAGGCCCCTCCGAGACAGCTGAAACTCTCCATGAGAGACATTCGGTGGTGTTGGAAGGAATTGGGTTACCCGAAAGCTGTTATGGGTAACCCCAGTGGGAAACAGGCGCAGGTGGAGGCATGGCGAAGATTTTGTGCGGAGGCACTCCACAGGACGTCGTACAATCACTTGTGGACTCTCGCCGATGACAAGACCGAGCAAGGAATCAAGAAACAGAACGCTGCCCTTCGATCCTATTTCCCGCTCGCAATGGCAGGGAAAAGCGCATGGGAAACCGGGATGGAATTTTTCGAGAGATGGGAAACGGGCAGACTGCTGGCACCGGAAGGAGCGAAGTGGATCGCGAAGAAGGAGAAGGTGCAGGGCCTCAAGCCAGGTGTGAGCCACATCGAAAATGAGAAGGACGGGCGAAAGGTGGTCGTCTACAATGTCCCCGTCGAAGGGCCACAAAAGAAAGGCAAGAAGGAAAAAGAGCCAGGCGACTGGTTCGTCCAGGTCACCAAGACGGATCCGCACTGCTGGAAGAGCATGGAGGCCCTTACCGACAATGAGAAATACCGGTTGTTGAAGAAGGTTCTCAACTGCGAGGTGGTCTGGGTGCAGACAGGGTCCTCCGCGTTGGAGAAGCAAGGGAAGTTGGGGATGCACGAGGCAGTGCAACTGGTGAAGTGCGATCGCATATTGGTGCGGTTGTGGAACTACTACCAGTTCAAGCATAAGAACCGGCCAGACAGTGACTGGACCACTAAGTACCCCTTCCTGAAAAAACGAGAGGCGATTTTGGCAAAGTTTGAACGGAAGGGGCTGGATGCAGCGCTGTGGGATGGGAGCAGGAAACTTGTCAGCGACTCCTCCTTGTTCAAGGACTATCCGCCCTACATGGGTTGCGAGGACGACAAGTCGATCAAGGCGACATAAAAGCTAGTCCAAAACAAGAAGTTGCCCATCGACTAGAAGAACAAGGTCCTCTCCGTGTTGACCGGCAGCAGGTCGAAAAGCATGGAAGTCGCGCTGGCCGAAGGGATGGTGCACATTCTGTGGAACGACTCGAGGGACGTCACAACTATTGCCCCGTTCGGCGTCGACCCTCTGGATGCGCAGATGAAGGTTGTGGAGTTGGAGAGGGCGGTCGGAATCACGAAATGCCACACGTGTGTTCTCGACTTGTGCGAACCGGTGGACATCAAACAGTGGACAACTAAAGTCTTCGAGAGTTTGAATGCCCTCATGGAGCACTTGTTCCCCTCGCACTGGACAATAGTCGTGTTCGTCCCTCGTGAGCACGACTACTACTTCATGACCAGCCTGCACCATCTGTCCGTCGTGAAGGCAATGGCCGGGAAGTGGGTGAGGAGAACGCAGTAGAAGAAAAGTTTCGGTGTCGGCCACAACTTGTACACCTTGGACGACCGCATGTACATCCTTTTCAAAGGCGACGACTTGCGGGAGAACACATCTGTTGTCTACGACGCGAGGTTGGCGGCGGGTGATGCTGCCGCAGTGGGGGCACTTCAGAAAGTGACTCCCACTGAGATATCTGACATGTCGTTCGACGCTTGTGAATGGCCCGTCGTGATACATGGGCGTGATCCCGTGGTGTACAAGGGCATGGGGCGGAACCCCACACAATTCGCCCATCTGCTGGAATTCCTTTGCAAAAAGGGGGATGGCATCATGTTCCTCGGGAACGCACAAGTCGTGTGGGAGGTTTTGAAGGGTGGTCACAACGTCATCGCGTTGGAGGGGAATTCGGAGTGGTTGCAATTCACGTTGGATTTCCTGAAAACCGCAGTCAACTCGGGAGCATACCGCTGCGAGTTCATTACGAAGAGTGAGAAGCCGAGACGCGTTTGGGATCCTTCGACGGACATGTGGTTCAAGCTAAGCGCCCGGAAAAGGAGCAGGATCTACGAGTTCCTCTTCTTGGAGAAGCGGCCTGCGAGGGGCACCGACATCGAGTACATGCGCCGCAAGGAACACATGNCGGAAAAGGAGCAGGATCTACGAGTTCCTCTTCTTGGAGAAGCGGCCTGCGAGGGGCACCGACATCGAGTACATGCGCCGCAAGGAACACATGTTGGCGCTGCTAGACAACTATCACGGCGCCACGCGCCTGAACGCGAAGAACTTCCTGGACCGACTGGAGTTATTGTACTTTGTCGAATCCGAGCCGGTCCTGAGGCTCGAGAGTTACGGTGCCTTGATCGACGCCGACGAAGAGTCCCTCACTGGTGTTGTCTTCGACACCGGTGCACCTGAGGAGGATAGCGAYACCGAGGAAATTGACATCGACTACCGCCTTGCTCCGGTGCTCCCATCCTCGGCCTCCTCGTCGGCGAGTCCCTCAACAAACCGGCCTGCACAAGCGACGCCCGTGCGGAGGACCCCTAGTAAGTTGTTGGCGAGATTGACACCTCGGCTTGCTGCGCCTCCTCCTCTGCGTCCAGGGTGTCAAGTCCCCCTGCAACATCCTTCTTGGAAGGATGAGAACATCCACTTCGAAGGGCACGACCACACGCGTTCCACGGAGGCAGACTGGGGTCATGACATGATTTGGCACCCGGGAACGATCCAGCCCGCAATTTGGAAGTGGGAGTGGGTCATGGCCATAGTCGACACTGACGGGGAATGGAAGCCGTCCGAGCGCCTGGCCAAGTTCGACTACTTGGATATCGCGAGGAGTGTTATGGTGGACAAAGTGACATCAGAGAACAGCAACCTGCACCCCGCCGACCCGGCCATCATTGCCACTGCAGATCGCTTGTTCCGGGAACTTCATGACAAGCAGTGGTTGGAAATATCTGACGATTTCTACGACCTCGAGACGAGCCCTTCGAAGAAAAAGGTGAACTAGAAAGTACCCCGCCGACCCGGCCATCATTGCCCAGGGTAGTGTGGGAGGAGGACCTCCGAGCCCCCCCGGGGCCGGAGGGGGGGGAGGCAGTGGCCACGAGGAAGGAGGTGGCGGAGGCAGTGGCCACGAGGAAGGAAGTGGCGGAGGCAGTGGCCATACGACATCAGGGGGAAGCGCGCCGGCATCATCGCCTGCCCCTGGCAGTCAGGGCAGGATCGCGCACAGCGGCGTGGGGGAAGGGGGGGTGAACGTCACACACTCCCCAACAGCAAGGAGCGGCAAGTCGGGGAAGTTCGCCCGCATCCGAACTTCGCAGACGGAGGACCCAGTGCCCGTGGAGGCAGCGAAGTCGAACGGCATCCGCACTTCGACGACTCTGGAGCAGGTGGCCCTTCCCTCGTGGACTGCTTTCGACTCCTCCGGTGAAGTGGGGCGGGCCTCATGTGCAGGGGATCCTGTCTCCGCCGTGAAGGGCAAGTCTGCGGGCATCCCTACCAGGGCAGACGACGTTCAGGCGAGTGTACCAGTCCAGCGGAGCTCTACAGGAGCACAGGCGTCGGAGATGGGCGCCGCCCTGGCTGTGCGGGAGGCGACGCCGCCGGCCCTTGGACAAGGCCGATCTGCGGAGTCACAGAGAGAGATTGCTGGTGCAGCGCCGTCCGCCTTCCTTGCGACGAAGTCCGCCGTTATCCGTACTTCGTCCGTGACGTGCCTGCAGTCAGAGGAGGCAAGGACGGAAGAAGGTGGTACGTCTGTTCATACAGACGACCGCTCCTTGGGATCCGCCTTGATGCGGCTGCAAGGAGCCGAGTCGTGTGAGACTGACGGGGGGGAAGAATGGGTGCAAGTCGAGGGCGGGGAAGAAGAGGGAGAATGGGAGGAGGGGGGAGAAGGAGACGAAGGGCGAGAGAAGGAGTTGATTACATTGCGCGACGGGGAAGACGGTGAAGGAGGACTCAGTATTACAGACGAGACGAGGAAAGGGTGGATGACGGAGACGAGGAAAGGGTGGATGACGGAGACGAGGATGTCTGTGGGGAGACATCTGATTCGTTCGGTCTGGTGTACGCCAGACCAGGTGTAGGTGATATCGACGACGACGCGACGGCGATGGATATGGAGACGCAGGTGGTTAGTGGCCTTTCCGTGGACCACAAAGAATATGACGCCCACCACCTGGCCACGGTGGTGCATCCCCCCGATGGGTGCCACGAGGCTATCGCGACAGTGAGCCCGACGAAAACGACTCTCTGTCTTAGCGTCAACGAGGTCATCGATAGCATACTGGGCGACGTGCAAGCTCAAACACTTTCGTCCACCCCATCAAAAGATGATGCCCTTCTCAGCAACGACAATTTCGCGGCCGGGGACTTGGCGCTCATCCAGCCGTGCTTTCCGGTACCCTCGTCACCGCTCACAGGAGGAAGGGGGGGGGGGTGTTGGGGGCCACCAGCACGTCACATCCCCAAAAAAATGCAGGGTAGGCACTCCGGCCCTGGCTGTCCTCGCCTTGTCGCGAAAACAAGATGGTAAGCATTGACGATCGTCGCGATGTCAGCACTCCCGCGTTTCGGGATTGTCGACGCTGTCTGTCAACCCCCTTGCCGGTTTATGCCCCACGTTAGATGGACAAAATTCCGCTTCACTTGTCAGCAAGGACCAATTGGCCTCTTGTTCTTTAACACACCGTCACGCTTTATTCTGCGACCACTGATCCGCTCCTCCCTCTACAAGTCCACTGTCGTCGTCTCGACTTTCTATCTCTGGCCGACACCTGTAGTGCGGATACCGGCGGACTACAAGACAGACCGTCCGATAAACGATTTTCGCAGCGATGAGCTTGTGTGCATTCGCACATGAAACGATGAGCGCAGTCTAGCCCGAGAACCCTGCACATGACGACGAAAGACCACATCACGCCAAAGAAGGGAATGTTTACAAATGTCGAAGTTCGGATTCCAGCGGACTTGCAGCTACAACCAGCAGGTCAGGTCGCAGAACCAGGTTTGGTCCTGACACTGGAACTGCGGAAACCGCCGGAAAAACGGTAATACGGAAGGTCTGTTCTGAAGTCCGCCGGCATCCGAACTACAAGTGCCGGCGCGAGGTGGAGCACGCCCCGTTGGTCGGTGTTTGCGAACTGTGGCTGCAAGTCCGCTGGAATCCGCACATCAACAAATGCCGACTTTCCACCTCACGCCGGCACTTGTAGTGCGGATACCGGTGGTCTAGAAAACATACCCTTTGAAGTTCAGGTTTCCTCCGGTCACCGCAGTTCCAGTGCCAGGACCAAACCTGGCTGGTCCCTGTCTGCTAGTCGTAGCTGCAAGGCCGCCGAAATCCGAACTTCAGCATTGGTAGGCGTTCCTCTTCTTTGGCCTGATGTGGTATTCGTCGTCATGTGTTGGGGTCTCGGGCTCGACAACGCTCGTCGTTTTATGTCCGAATGCACGCATGCTTGTGGGTTACATTATCTTTCACATTGTCACTTTCGTCGAACTCCTCCTGGGAATCATATATTCATTTCGGGTTCTGTCTGTTCTCTATTTTACAGGGGTCCGGTCGTCTCGAAAAAGGAGTTTCTCGAAATATCCGGCACGTGTATTGCAGAAACTTCCGAGACTCACGACAAGAAACAAGAATATGTTAAAGGCATCAGGGGTTGATGTCGAGATTGGAGAGAAGGAGCATGCCTTAGCCATTGACGAATGTCTTTCCCTTCTACCTGCGGAGAAGGGGACATATCCACGATCTGTGACTAGGGGTCAGGCCATGTATGAAAAACACTTAGCGACGTGTTGTGCGGTGAACGACAACCTTTAGAACTTCCTTTCTCACTTCCCCGCGTGTGCGTTGGTCATTTGATGTGCAGCTCGGGCCACAGCACCTGCAGCCTGGGGGGGGCGTTTCGCTACGGCGATTGCGCCTCGAGTCTCGCGGGTTATGGACGATGTTTCTCGTAGCGTGGTGCCTCCTCATCATGTCCTCTCTTCCTTTGCGGATGATCAATTCAGAATCACGGTGAAAGATATGCTCACCGTTTTGCAAGCCAATGGCAAGATCAACGATGAGGTGGTGAATTTCTACATGGCCCTTTTGGGGTCGACGGCATCCGCGACACGTGCACGGCCATCAGGCCTTCGAATCTTCAGCTTCAATTCTTTCTTCTTCAGTATGCTGCAACTTCGAGGACACACTGGGGCGGAGAGGTGGGCTAAAAACGTTGATTTGCATCAGTTCGATATGATCTTCGTTCCGGTGCACAAACATAACGATCACTGGATCCTACTTTCCGTTAATTTGAGAGACAATGTCTTCGAAATTTTTGACT